TGTTTAAGTGCCACCTGCTGTCAGAGAGTGACATTTGTGTCTCATTCAGCCCGTCTGCTGTTTTTGTTTCGTTCAGATTTTTAATGTAGTATCACAAAGCTAAAGTCAGACAATTTTGTTTTTGTTTCAAATTTCAAAATTTTACAATTTAAATAACACTAATTAAATAACATGTATGCAGCATGTTTGTTTGGATCGTGATTAAAATACACAGGCAAAACCTTAAGTTTACTTGCATGGAGAAATTTATTTTATTTGTATTATTTATTTATTTGATTTGGTATTTGTTTTAAAATTTCAAGTTAGTATATTGTTTGACATTTTCAATTTCACAAATTAATGTGCAGCCTTTTGGTCTGAGAAATAACAAAAGGACACATTTTTAAAATCTGTCTTAAATCTAATTTTGTTAAAAAATAAATTGTGAGAAAATTGTATTGTGAATTATATGACATCGTGAGTTGAGTGAATCGTTACATCCCTATATGCTACTAGTTTTTGCTGTGGTATCGAAGTAGTAAATTGTTCTTAAAATAATAAGTGTTACTTAAATAATAAAGAACCATATTTTTTTTGCTCATCTAAAAAATGATCCGATCTGTGACTCAAAATGTGATATGATAATGTAATATAATCCAAACCGTGAGATTTGTGATCCGTTGCACCCCTACTCTCTTGACTTGTTATTTGAAGAAAAAATACAATATCTTTTATTCGGGCTAGTTAAATTCATTTTTGGGCTACCAAAATCTGAAGAATGCCTGCCCGAAGGGCTACCAGGGATTTTGAAATTTTGCGAGCCCTGCACATACACGTACCTACTTTCCCTCACATGTAATGCCCTACTTTGAGACTTTACGGAAACTTAATAACACACAATTTAATTTTGAATTGTTTCTTTAAGGTGAAAAAGTAAAATGAGCATTCAAGTTTTTAGCATTTCAGTTAATTTTATTCAAATACTGATTTCACAAAACTTGTACAGTTGTTTCCTTCTAAATAATATTCAAAATCTATTCCATTGGCATGAAATATGACTGACAGTTCCACAAGTACATCAAAAATGCTTTAGGAAAACCACATCTCATTCTCAGAGCTTTTGAGACATTTTACACAGACTGAATGTTAAATCCCTCACTTTTCACACTGCAGAACACAGGCAGATGCTAATTCCTTTTTTAATCACTTCAAGTTAATTGCATACAGTTTTTAATCAACCAAAATAGAACAGTTCTCTTTACAGAAGCGTACAATTCAGTGGGACAGTGATTTTGTATTCATGGTTTGAAACCACACTTACGAAACAATACTCCATATTTATTTCACATAAGAAATGAATGTTTTATCAATGATATAGGCCTAATATCTCATGAAACTTTTATAAAGGAGTTTCAGTCATGTGTTGTTAATATACTGCATATAACACCTCGCCACTTTCCCAGACAATCTAATATTAAACTAATGTTGTCACTCAGTGTTGTTTAAATCTTCTAAAGTGTGTACACTACACACTGTACGATTTATATTAGTCCTTTACAATTGCTGCTTGTCAGACTGTACCAACATGTTTGTGACACGTTTGGTGTCAGTGAGCTGCATTCACATGTAGGTTTGAAATGGTGACTAGCAAACAAAAACAATCTCTAGCATTAATTTTGATCATGGCTTGTATTAAAAAGAAAATATGGGGGGAAAAAAGATGTGTGTGGAGCAAGTGGTTTGTTGTTGTCAATCTAATCGTGTCATCAGGTTCTGTGCTCTTAAGGGATAGCTCACCCAAAAATTCAACTTCTGTCATCATTTACTCACCCTCAAGTTGTTCCAAACCTGTATGAGTTTCTTTCTTGTGGAAAAAATACTATGGAAGTCAAAGGCTACCAGCAACTGTTTAGTTACTAACATTCAATAGAAGAAAGAAATTCATACAGATTTGGAACAACTTGAGGGTAAGTAAATGATGACAGAATTATAATTTTTGGTGAACTATCCCATTAATGGTTCTTGATCTGACAGTTATAATTTTTTTTGTGCCTCAAAACTTCTGAGACTGGCAAAATGTTATCATAAAATTTGACCACAATGGTCATTAATACGCTGTCGGTGAACATGTCAAACTAGCAATCAAAGACTACAGATTTTGAATCAAAGGAATCTTTTAGGATTCACAAACTTTTTCTCAGACAGCCAAATCATGGCCGAAATCATACAGTGTGCACCCGGCATAAAGTGTGCGAAAATCTAATTAAATATTAAGCAAATATTAAGGATTATGCTAGAATTATAAACTGACTGAGTTCTTTTATTTTAGATATTTTATATTTAAAACTACATATACTTAAAAGTCAATATGAAACCTCATTTGTAATCCATTTACTTCAGCAATGAGGGACAAACATGATATTCAGTGAGTTTAAAAAAAATTTAAGGTAGGACATGATTTTATCCAGACTGGACAGTGAAAAAGTTTTGACATTTAAATGATAGATTATGAAAGCAAACATTATGTGTGCAGCACGCACCAAAGAATTCAGCACAAAAAGACCAGGAACATAGTAAGTATGCAACTACTGTTCATTTCGATTTTATGCTGACTTTCAAAGCATGACAACTTTTAGAATAATCATGGCAAATAAAAGGACAAAAATGTCAGAATTAACTTTTACATATACCCTGTATATACCCTGCATTCATAAATACTTACAAGCGTTACAAGGATGTCGGAAAATAATGTCTGTAGGAATTAGCTGAACAATAGAAATTTCAGAATGGCAAGTCGAGCTCTGAGAAATCCAATTCACCGTTCCTTGTTGCTTTCAAACTGACCCTGCATCTTTACACATTCCAATAAACTGACACTCAGTTATAGATTTTACCTTGCTATCTTCCCTCATCTCAGAAAAGATCTGTGAATTCAACATGACGCATCCGACCGTTGCCTACTCATCACCCTAGAGCTTTACCTCGAATGAGCTCATCCTCTCCCACAAATCTGCACTATAGTCATATTTCTAGACCTAGAGTTTACAAGACCCATTGACTCATCCTTAATGACTAGTGTTTCCTGATAGGTTCTGTCTGTCCTGCATCATGATCTTGATATTATTCTGAGTACTGAGAGGCTCTAAATTTAGCAGTTGACTTGATTTTTTGCTACCTGTCCTAGC